TATTTTCAAGAGATAGCTGAGTCATTCAGTGGAAAATTGACTTCCAAACCCTCTCATTGTTTCCTCAAGATTTAATTTTAACAGCGTGCAGTACATCTGTAAGGAATGAGCGAAAAACAGTTTGTATCTCTCATATCATTTTAGAATAAGTATATGTCCCATAGGGGAATTTTCAAACTGCTCACACCATAGGTATGTACACTGTTCCATGTGAAATCAAATCAGTATTCTAAAATGCTGCCAAGAGGCAGGTCAAGGCACTTGGAAAACTCTTAAGATTTAAAGTATATGACACTTTCCAATGAGTATTTTACAAACATATTTCTCTACATATACAGAAAGTAGTATTAAATTAAGCTAAGTATTTTACATGATTTAAACACTGCTTTGCATTTTTTAATAAAAGATTTGTCACATGAAGTCAGAGAAGATAGTACTTCATAGAATTACCAAAAAAGAAATGATCTGTTATCAAGCAATATAAATATAAAATAATTTAAAGTATAGTTTATTATCTAGGGACACAGATTGCCCAAGAACTTCAGTCTTTCAAAACTCTGATCCCTCATAGAAAGGAGAAAAAAAAAGTACACAATGGAGAACTAATCACCTATAAATAAGTAGTCGTAATTAAACGTGATAGTTAAATACCATGGAAACATACTAGCACCCTCTTCCAGAAGATGTCTAATACTAAAAAGTGAAAATTGAATAAACAAACTATTCATGACACAGAGTAATGAATGCATTGTTCAAAAAAATCTGAATATTTATAACCGAAATCAAACATGGTCTAAAAAACCAGTAATGTTTATATCATCACAAAAATACTTGCAAATACTTTTCTTGCATGTTTTGTTTTTCAAACATAACACCAAGGTCGATGCACATCACAATAACAAACTGAATTAAAATTGCATAAAAATTGAGACATGGCCTGATCACAAATTTTAACTTTAATATTGATACCCTAATTTAGAGGCTGCATTTTCCTGTGTTAATGGGCCCTGGCACCAATAGAGTCATTCAACCTTATAATTCTGCTTCAAAACTCTGTTTCACAGTCTTCCTATTTCTCAATTAGTATTCACTTTAATAGAAAATATTCAACAAATAGTTAACACTGTACTTTTGATATACTATTTCTGAAAAAGTTACATACTTTTGGATTAAGGATATAGACAAACATCACATCAGATGACGCTGCTAGAAAATAAAGACTGTTTCATGTTAACAAAACGTGTCCTTTTATAAGACACAACAATGTCCAATAAAATGAAAATAAGATTTTAAAAAACAGGAGGTAAAAGAATCATAACCAGCAACTGTGTAGAAGGAAAATAGGATTATATTTATTGGCTACTATATCAACTTAACTTCTCATAAAATCCTCCTGATCTATTAAATAACTTCAGAACTGAAGTATGCTCTCCTATGGGAGTTGTAAAACAAATTAGATACAATTACAATTCAATACAAATGAGAAACCAACCTATTTACCCTTAAGATTTCTCTCATTTTATAGCTTTATCGCTTAACTTAGATCAGAATTTTCCCTAATGTATCAAGTGGGCCTCTTGACAAAATTATAAATTTTTCTCGAATGCTTTCTATAGAGAAAAATAGTTGATATGAGTAAATTCTGGAAAACTGTGGTAACTACACCTCCCCAAAGTGAATACAACAAACATCTGCTGCAAGAATTGCTTGGCTTTCAGACAGTATGTAAAGGGTGTTCTTTTTCCTAGTGTTTTGTTGTTTTTTTTTTAAGCTTGTTTAAAAATACATGTTTTCACTATCAGCTCTCAAGTCATAAAATCTTAAAATTCTGGTAAGTTAAACACAGGTCATTACCAGGTATCTTACAGAAAGAAAAAATATGTAATGTACAAGACTCCACTTGCTTCTGAAAGGGCAAGAAAATAATTGGGCATGTTGCCCTCTGTCTGTGGGTTATATAGTAATTTTAACTATTGTCTTCATTTCTTAACTCAGTGCTCCACACATAGCAAAACTCATAGTAAGGGAGGGGACTACATATATAACTTCCTTATGATTTTTATTCTCTTTGGAGTCCCACTGATAATTCGACTTTCTCTTTTGAATTTCACTGCCTTCTCCCCACTTCTAAAGTCAACAGTAGCCTGATATGCTCATCAAGCAATAGTGTGTTTGTAAAGATTCACTCCAGTGACAGGATAAATTACTGCACATTTTCTGCATTAAACATAAAATGTAATAATTTCAATGGAGTGAGAAGAAGAATCAATAGCCTTTATGACTGATTATCTTTTCTAACTGAATCAGAGTTTAGTGCTTTTTGGTAAGTTGAATGCATCTTCCTTGATTCTGAGAAATCAGAATTTTGCCTAAAATTCACAAGTATTTTGCAGAGTAAAACATCATCTTTTCAGCATTGGGAAATTCCATAAAACATACACAAATTAGCAGGTGCAAATAAATAAAAATGCTTATCAGCAATAGGGCACAGGATGTGCAACACCTTTATGAAAGAGAGAATAAAAAGACGACCATTATCTAAATATATTTCTAGTAACATGTAACTTTGCTCACTTTTCAATCTTTCACTGCCTCTTCTATAATACCAATGCCTGCTCCCAACCACTTCAAAGTTATTGTTTACAAAATGTTTAAGATTCAGTTCCACAATTCCATTTTTATGCTAACAATAAGGTATTGATTTAATTCTTAAAACATTCCTGAGGGCACTTCAACAAGGCATTTTAATACACTACACAGAGAAACTTCTTTGTCATCAAGAAACGGGAAAAATCTAGGACGTATCCCTTTCTTTTTAGGCCAGACCCAAAGTAAGTATAACCATGTCACTGTGCTTCCATAAACTTCAAGACCTATAATGGAATTTGCCCATGTATCCCATTAAAGCAATCTAAAGTGTAGACATGCACCTGTTTGGTATATGTTTATTTAATCATGGGGAAAAATGCTTTACTTAAAGCAGTCCCCATATTTGTATTATGCAAATTCCATTACAAGCAAAAGTTTTGAGAAAAGTAAATTTAAAATGGATACAAATAAAAAGGAAACTCAAAGTCACATATGCTCCAGTATACACAAGTTTAGAATCATTTTCAGACCATATCTATGACAACACTAGATTTATAGCTATCAGTCTTACTGAAAGATGAATTACAAAAAGAGGGAAAAAGATATTTGCTCTTCACCTAGGAAAGATAGCCAGCCAACATACACAAGGAATACTCAGAAGTAATTAATTGCTAAAAGTTTCCTTTATTCAATGTGATCATCTTTCATTCCTATGGAAGGTAACCATAAGTCATATGTTAGGTTTAAAGATACATTAGTTTCAATTATATGATGTCTAAGGAAAACAGATAAACAGGTTCATAACTTTGCAAGCAAAAAGAAAATCTTTTTTCAGATATTGCAAATAACTTGAATAAAGTTATCTGAAGTTAAACTTGTATCTATGTTTTATCAATATGTATATGAATTATGTATATATTACACACACACATTATACTGTCTACATGTAGTAGTGCACACATACGTATTACCAGATTTTTCAGAATGAATAGCGGAATAACAATGCATCCTCAGCAAACAACCTTATAATAATAAACTACCCATCATAACATACTATTACATCTACTCTACAGGTAGAAAAACTGATGCTGAGAAGTTAAAAGATTTACCGAAGGTCTTAAAAGCACATTAGGAGACACCATCATTATAATGCTGAAGATCTTCACATTCATGACTTTCCGAATAGATTTTCATTGCTATTTTTATTTAATTACTTAATATTATCTCTAAGGTATTTTGCAAACTCTATTCTTTAAAAGATGCTATGTACTTAACGCTGAATGAGGCAACTAAAGTGAGACACAAGCTCTGTCTGTTGAATAATAGGTCCTTGCCTTTTTTTTTTTTACTATGCTTCTAAAATTTGAATGAAAACTCTATTTACTTGGTTTATATGGTTCTTCTACTTAAGTGTTTAAACTTCAAAGTAAATTATCCGAATTAATCTTATTAACTTATCATAATAAATTGCATTATTCTCATTTTATAAGTGAGAAGCCAGGCACAAGGAATAAGACTATCTGCCGTGGGTCACACGCTAAGTGTGAGGGAGGTCTGGAGTTAGAACATGTTATGTTCTTGGCTGAAGGGCAAGATTGTTCGTATTAATCATCTTATTCCAAAATCACTTGAGGAAGCACGCAATTTTCTGAAGCAGAGGGGAAAACATATCCTGAAAGTTACAAGTATAAAGGAATACATCAAGAGTTTTGATTTCACTGTACTTACATTATAATTCACTACAATTTAAGTTTTAAAAACTATTCACATATCTCATTACTTTAGTACCATGAATCAGAGGCTTTGTTGACTGAGACACTATTTGCCCACAATTAGTCTCATGCTTTTATAGGAGAAATACAAGCTAAGAAATAAAATTAAATGAGGAAGATAAACATTGGTTCCATGTTGAAATGTATTTGATGGCATGGAATTTGCAAGACAAGACATCAATTTTCAGCCTAGCAGATTACAGAATAGGATCCATGAATCCTAGTCAACGTTGAACACTTCAGAGGAACAAGAACATGACATCTGAGGGCAAGTAATGCATGGGAATGCTCATGATGTGTTCCTAGAAAAGCTGAAGAAGAGAATGAACTAAGTCCACAAGTTAAAACAACAGTAAATAACCAGGCCTTTAGCCTCTCAGAATAGATGAAAAATATAACCAGAAACATCTTCTAACCATTGCTAAATAGTTAGAAAACTGTGCTCTCCAAGTAGGGTTAGGTATGTAAACAAGTGCTAACAGATTGATACAGGCTTTCTGCTTCCTACGAAAACTAAGGTTTCGCATTGAAAACAGCATAACCAGCACATTCCTAATTATATGCATTTTTCCAGGTTGCAATGTGGCAGCAAAAGTACAAGTAAGGAAGACGAAGAGTTGTCATATTAATGAGACATACCTCTTGTACTGAGCGAGCTGCTGGCTTGTCTTGATGATTGGCCAATATTAAAAAGGGTAAAGTGCATAACTGTGGATGCTGAAGAGCTGAGTGCAGCTCATTTCTAGCAGTTTCTAAATCATCCTCTGAAGAGGCACTGTCTAATACAAATATTACCCCTTGAGATCCTTGGTAGTAGCGGCTCCAGTATTTCCGGATATTATCAGCCCCTGTCAAAAACAAAACAAATTTTCGTTTTAAAAAGAGCTTTCAGCAACTGAAAAACGTTCCCAACAGTAATTTCTACTGGAAACCAATGTATCTTTTAAAAATTAAGTGCTAAACTCTGTGGTATGGATTAAAACAGGAATTTAGAAAAGTCAGAGATCACAGTGGATAGGAACAAAGAAGGCAGTAGAGCCAATAGGCAGATTTGGCCTTGAACGAAGACACAGTATCTAAGCCATTCTTAATGACTTTTCTATAAAAATATGTGTGAGAGAACCAGGATAAAACCTCCTAGACTTAAACTCAAAAAAAAAAAAAAAAAAAAATTCAGACTTTAACCGTCTCGAATGAACTATACTCTCTACAAATTGAGACTGAATCTGACCCAGAGAGCTGCATGACCTAGACATCCAACAAGGCTTCTTTCCAAACCATTAACATTACCTTGGTGATATTTTTTAACAGAACTGCTTGCTGATGAGGACAGCCTTGTTTAATTTCACCTAGAGAGCTATTAGCACAATAGCTCTATGTGTCAAAGTGCTAAAGGTTGTGAAAAACTAAAATCATGGCCTTTGATACATTTGTATGAATCTGGCTTCATAACTCATGAGGAAAAATAACAGACGACAAGAGTGCACTTATGGTCTCAATACGATAAGATGTTTATTAAAAAATATATATATATGGAGAGGCCGGGTGTGGTGGTTCACACCTGTAATCTCAGCACTTTGGGAGGCTGAGGCAGGTGAATCACCTGAGGTAAGAAGTTCAAGACCAGCCTGGCCAACATGGTGAAATCCCTTCTCTCTTAAAAATACAAAAATTAGCTGGGCGTGGCCTTGGGCACCTGTAATCCCAGCTACTTGGGAGGCTAAGGCTGAGGCAGGAGAATCGCTTGAACCTGGGAGGTGGAGGCTGCAGTGAGCCAAGATCGTGCCACTGCACTTGAGCCTGGGCAACACAGCGAGGCACCATCTCAAGAAAAAAATTAAAAAAATTAAAAAAAAACATGGAGAATCTCGTCTGCCAAGGCATGTCATGTATTATTCCTCTTTGTATTTCCATTGTATAGCACAACACCTAACTCAAACTTCAGTACTGGAATGATGAAAATTGAGGGAATGAGGGAGTAAAAGTATATACTAATTAAGCTTTACAAATTTGAGACTAGAACTCTAGAGATTATTTAGTCCAACTCTCTGAGGAAACTGAGGCAGAGAGAGGTAAAGTAAGTGATCCCTTGTCATGTATCTAATAAATCACAAAATTGGGATTTGCATGAGTTGGTAGACAATCTGCCCAGGGAAGGCACAGGCACTTCCCATTACATTACGGTGACTGCTTTCATTACTTTCATTCAAGAATAGGAGGGGCAATATGTGTGCATGTGTAGAAAAGGGGTGCTACTGGTTACATAACGACAATTAGATTTCAAAGAATTTCACCAATTTATTGCATATGATCAAGTCCTAACCAGTTAATAACTGTATTTTAGTCATCCACTGAACATCTAGCTCCTATTTTTGACATACCATGTTATGTGTTAGGGAAACAGTGGGGACTGGAGTTGGTGTGGCCTGGCTGGCAAGGGGCACCTGTTTGCTTCTCTTCCCAACTCTGTGCTCAGTGACATCCTGTTGGTAGCTTGAAATCAATCAGGGTGAAAGTACTGTCACTATGGAAATCAGCAAATCCTACATATCAAGTCTGTTCCTCTCCCAGAGAGCTAACACACCACTGGTGACACTGAGCAGCTTATATTTTCTGGGAGAAATAGAAAAGAAAACTCTAAGATTATAAGAGAGTACAATGAAGTGCTGTCATAGAGGCACTCATTAGGTCTTCTGGGAGCAAGAGATAGGCATTTCACCCAAAATGGAGCAATTCTTTTTTAATTTCATTTTTTAAATTTGAGATGGGTTCTCACTATGTTGCCTAGGCTGGACTCAAGACTCAAGTGATTCTCCTGCATCAGCCTCTTGGGTAGCTGGGACTAAAGGCACACACCACGGTGCCCAGAGGGGCAAATGTCTTGAAAGAATAACATCAGTAGCCAAACAGCTCCCATTTATTAAGCACTTCCTATCTTCCAGGTACTAAGTGTTTTAAAAAGAAAAGCTCATACAATTTCTTACAACAATCTAAGGAGGGAAGTATAATTGACTAAGGCTTTGAAACCAATTTTCAGGTCCTAAAATCTGTGATTTCCCCATTATACTACACAAAAATAACTAGGTATACATTTAATAAGAGGATCAATGACATTTGATGTTGAGCAACGTTAAATATGTGAAGACATGGGATATGAGCAGGGTTGATGCATATCAAGCAGGGTCCAACTAAGAAAACAAAACAAAAATAAAGAGGGAATATAAGCCAGAGATCATTTAGTGTAGGGAATTAGTGGCTTAGGTGGTGGTGGAACTAAGAAAACAGCAGGGTTACTGAGATAAGCAACATCTTAGGTCAGGTTCCCTAGACACAGAGCCTGAGATGGCATTTCTTGTACACCTGATTTAGAGGGAGTGCTGTCAGGAGAAACTAGAAGTGAAAGAAGTAGGCTAGAATGGGAGAGGAAGCTAGGCAAAGACATTGTTTCAGAAATCTAGCCTCAGCTTGATGTGATGAGGAACTCTACAGCAAGGATTGAACCACAGAAGTTGTCTAGTCCAAAGGCAAGGGGGCTGGGCTATTACACCCTTGTATAGTCATTAGCCACCCCTGGGGAACAGGAGGGGGATGGGGCATGATCTTATAATCTCCCAAACACATTTGGTTGGGGCAATTATTGTCAGCCAAGGGCAGGCCTCTGGAGAAGGGTACAGGTGTGAGTCATTACCAGCCAATACTCGCAGCAGCTGGGAGATGGATGCACTGGCCCAGTAAAGGAGGTCTGGGTAGGAAACCAATAGCATCTGGTACAGGCTACATCCAGACACTACCCATATGCTCGAGAACCATCCATAAGCTGGAGGGACAAAACTGGAGGCAGTGTTACCCGCTGGTAAGTGTTTAAAACAACAAAAATAGTGTGCATGTGTATCTGTACACAAGCTTGTTATAAATTTCACTAACACAAAGGATGTGCAGCGCACAGTTTTCATAATAAGAATCAATGCAGCATGCTTTATTGTAAATTCCACATAGCCAACGAATGCCCACAGAATGCTTTATTGAGTTTGCATCCATAGCCAACTAATGGCTGCAATTGACCAACTAGTGTAGTTCTGACATGAATGGTGGCTGCTCAAAGTGCTTTATGTATATTAAATCACTTACCCATGACAGTCTAATGACTCTCATGAGGTAAATACTGTTATCAATCTCATTTTATCAACAAGGAAACCAAAACACAAAAAGATTATGTAACTTGTCCAAGGTTACACACCTAATAAATACATTTAGGTCTAATATGCTCGAAATAGAGGTCATGGACTAAAAAGGCAATGAGGCTAAGTAAAGAACTATATTACCACATAAGCTAGGAGAAAAGAAATGGAACCCTATTGGAACAAAAGGTAAGTAAATGCCTACATACATTAATGGAAATATGTCCAAAAACATTTCCCAACTGGTTAATTCAATGGATAGTTATTAAGTACCTATTCCATCCATACAAGTCTCTGAGTTAGAACCTAAAGAGATATTTAGAAAGCCATTATTCCTCTTAACTGAAACCATCAAATCCTGTAAAGTAATACAAATTACAATGAGGCCTGCAAATACAGCAGGCAGAGCAAATATGTCCACACATTAGATGGTGTCCAGTGAGTCAGATATAAAGAGAATTTGGTTGCATGTTTTAATAGAGCTTGTCCCTTGGAAACACAGGACACCTGGAAATTCAACTTCTGCAATCAACTCTTTCAATGAGAAACTATGTTTTCATTTGCCACATTTATGAGTACATATGGTACCTGAAAATAGTGAGACATACACAAACACACACACACACACAAACCCAAAGAGAAATACCATAACTTTAAAAAAGTCCCTTATATGACATAATGTATGAATAATATATTAATAGTGAAAAGGCCCTTTTCTTTAATCTCCTGCCCAGTCTCGTGCCCAGTCTTAGCATTCCTTTCATCATCAACACTGAACTTGGAATTCTAAATTCCCATTTTGCCTTCTCCACATGGCTTTGGTCAGCAGCAACCTAACCCATACTGAGACCAGGGCACTTCACCAGCAACGAGGTGAAGAGTGGTATGCAGTTATTCAGTCCAGCTTAGTGGGCCATGGTTTAGTCACCAGATTAAAATAAAAATTGGCTGTGTCATCAACCCAGCTGCCAGGTGTTTTGAGGAGTGAGCCTAATTGGGAAGGTTAGGGACACCTGTCTGATGCCCACATTCTCAATCCCCAAACCAAATCCAAAAGAAGTAACAAACACAGGAAGTGACGTCTTACAGCAGGCTAAGGCCACTCTTAGTTTAATGACTGAAAATGCCATGCTCTGTGTCACTTAAATTACAATTGCAACATAACATGGTTAAAGAGCAAACTCAAACCGCGTCTATGGTTTGTACAGTTAGATTAAAAAGCAAAGGGGTTAGTCCTAACAGTAGTGGGGCTGGGTGAGGGTGGTGCCAAATGTCCTATTTATACATCCAATGTTGCCTCACTAAAAGTTGGAATAAACACTTGGGAATCTAAGCTCATCAGGAGGGCCAACCAGGAGAGTCTGGCTCAGGGTACCACAATAAGAGTAGAGAGAGAACACAGGAGCATAACAAGTCCTCATTGTGTAAATTCATTTCTGTGGCACACTATAGATGTTAACAATATCGTCTCATTATTCATTAATACATCCATCCAACAGATATTTACTGAGCACCTGGCACCATTCTAGGTGCTGAGGAAACAGCAGGAAACAAAACAGACAAAAATTTCAGTCTTTATACTGCTCACAGCGAAGCCAGCCTATCATCATAGAGGTTAAAAATCCCAAGTACTCATCTGGCCAACTGAGACCTAACAAAGGTCTGCAAAG